CCCAGCCACTGGAGGAGTAGTGGAGTTCATAGGGCAGGTAGCTGTCTGCAGAAATCTCCATCCACTGTGTCCAGACTTACCAATAAAGAGCTGATCAACAATACAGCTACTTCCTAGTTTTTAATTAATTAATTAATCAATTAATTAATTAATTTTCAGTTTTTTGAGGCAGAGTCTTAGATGGCCCAGGCTGTACTTAAGATTACTAGGCATGTGTGGCTGACCTTGAATTCGAGATTTTCCTGTCTTAGTCTCCCCAGTGCTGGGATTCTAGGTGTAAGCCAGGATGCCTAGCTTCTTTTTCTTTCTAAATCAAGAAACATAAGTGAATTTTTTGCCTGAGATATGTTGACATATCATAAGAAATCCAAGTCATAAACTCAAAATGACAGGAAGCTTAGAGCACATGATCAAAATTGATGTTGTGGCTACACAGAAGACAAAGACCCAGAGTAAAGCACACGGCAGGATTCAGGAGGTTTAGCCTCCGTGCTAAACTACGATGTGATCTATTTTACATGTAACGCTCAGTGCTGATATTTCTTGATTTAAGAGCTGGTTGACACCAGCTAGCTCTTCACTGTCCTATTTTATTTACTTATTTTACTGGAAAAAATTTAATGATTAATATTTGACAAGATGTTTTTAAACTGGAAATGCAAAAAATGTTACATTAAAATGTTACACTCACTCTAATGAACATTTTAGCAGAAACACCCAGCAGGCCTCATGAGTAATGGTAATAACCTTGTTTGATTTGCAAACACAAGCAATGTTTAAATTGAGATATTTCTTATACATTTTTATAGTAAAGAAAATTTGAAGAAAAAATAAATCTGAAGGCCAGCCCTGTTGGAAACTGCCAGAACCCTCATATAACAAAGACTTTCCCACGGGACAGATAGTGTGGTAGCTATATGATTGCAATCAATGACTGTTACCATTTTGTCTCTATGTGCCACAGGAAAACCTTTCCCTGGCATGCCCTCCAAGGGCTCCTCGAACTATTTCTGATTTGTGTCTGCCTGGTATAGGAAGCACTTTTCCCATAAATAACACCACTTGTTTTTCCTTCAGTACTACTGTAATTTAAACCTAGCCTTTGTGTGTGCTAAACAAGTAGCAAACAGCAAACAACACTGAGGGCATCCCTGGCTTTTAAAAAATTATTATTATTATTATTATTATTATTATATTTTTTGAGACAAGACCTCAGTACTTTGTACAGGTTGACCTGAGCTCTGTAGCTGAGACTGGCTTTGAATTTACTCTTCTCTTGTTTCAGCCCCTCTAGAGCCTGGTTGTTCATGCATATACCAGTGTTTAAATGAAGTCTTTACATGTGTTTGCTTTTTAAAAGGAAGTAAATAGGTGCTTATTGGTGCAATTTGGCCTCTGGATCCTGTACTTAATTTTCAGTTAAAAGACAAAATACAGATTATCTGTAAGAAAAAAGGAAGGGGTCAGGGATGGAGGGAGGGAGGAAGGAAGAAAGAAAAAAGAAAGAGAATAAGCTTTACTAATATGAACAGGTTTCTGATCTCACCATAATCCTGTACCTAACCCCCTCTAATGGGAGCCATTAGATGATGCTGGAGAATTCATGAACCTCCCAAGTGTCTGTGAGCGCTCTTCTAAATCTCTCTTGGGGGAAGTCTATGCCATACAGCTTACAGGAGCCTTTCTTTCCTCGAAGGGACTTGGTTGCAAGGCAGCCAAGGGTGTCCTCCTCTATAGACAGGACAAGATGGAAGCTTCTAACTTTAAGGCCCTGGTGTCTGATTCAGACATGATTTCTTAACAGAAAATAATTCTGGAACTTCTTTTTCCTCATGTGACTTTGCATTGATGGCACTGTTAGTCCTGTTTGAATCGTACATTTTTAGCAGGTTGTCTTCTGAGAGCATTTTTCTATCTTACATTCTAACAGCATCGCTGCTCAAATCCTTCCCCCTCACTTCTAACCGACCCATTACTTTAAAGCCGGATTATTTTCATACTGCCACTGTGGATTGGTCTTGATATGAGGAGCTATCCCATGTGCTGTGGCTTGCTTATCAGAGTCCCTGGTTTCCACCTGCCATACAACAGCCTCTCAGGTGCCAGGTGTGACATCAAAGTACCTTCAGACATTGCCAAAGTCTTTAGTTTTTAGTGAAACAACATAGCATAAAATAATTCCACTTAGTTTCAGAAAAGATCAAAAGGTAAATTCAACTCAACGTAGATTCAATCTGGTAGTTCAGTGGTTGAGATTCAGTGACCGAGAGTTAACTGTGTTTTACAAATGCAATGGATCAGCCACCTTTTGATTTGTTTCAGAGCTAATCCTGCATGGAAATAGTTCATTTTTCACAGTTATAAAATGCATTTGGCTCTTTTAAAATTAGAGGGCTTCAACAAAGGCAGGAGACTCCAACTAGATGAATTGTGGTATGCATAGAAAACCACTTAAATGAACATTTACTGTTCAGGGAGGAACGCTTGGATAAGGAGCCAGCATCAGCTTTGGCAGTGGGGTGGAGAAATGAACAGTTCTTTCTTCACAAATTAGTTGACAGAATCTACAAGGAGTTGTTACAGGATTACAAAAGATTTGCTTCGGATAATGAATTTCCAGGTGGAGAAAGGGTGGACTCCCCCACCCCCACCCCCAGAGGCTGATTGTTAAATGTTTAAATGTATTAGGAAACAAAGGAAAGCTACAAAGCAGCTACAAAGGCTGTTTTTACAGGGCTACAAAAGACTTGCTTCAGAGAATGACTTTCCCAGTAGAGAAAGGGTGAGTGAGGCTGCTTAAGGATTATGAAGAAACAAAAGAAGCACAAAATCAAATCACAACCAAGAGGAAGCAGCTGCAATCTCAGTCCGCATTGCAGGCATCTGTTTCCTTTATGAGAATTCTTAAACTCCTGGGAGTCAGGCTTCAGTGGCAACTTCATAGCAGAGGTGTGAATTCTTCTTATGTTGACCATAAGGATAACTCAAGAAGGCTACACATAAGCTCAGTGGTAGAGTGCTTGCCGGACAAACTGTGAGGCACTGGTTTGGATCCACTGACACTGCAGAAAGCCAAAACAAAGCAAAAGCCTTCCCCTTCAGGGTTCAATATGGTCATCACTGGGGTCAAAGAGTTTTTCTGAGTAGGTGTATGGACCTCCTAAAAATTCTCAGATGATTGGAAAATCCATATCAACCAGCTTGTGGTTGTGGAGCTGTCTGAAGCAGTACTTCTAAGAGAAAATGTGAATAACTGATACTACACACAGCACATACCAATTATTCACACTTAAGGGATTTGGCATATTAACATACTTGACCAGATAAACCGACAATTCAATTTTTGATGTATAATACAGTAATTGATTTTAGAACCTCTATTGAGATACTTCAAACAATTTAGCAGTTTTCAAATGTCATAAGCATATTATGTCAGAAATATAAGTGAACATGCTTATGTCTTTCCATACCATCCTTTATTCATAAGATATAACAGCTTTACTGGCAGCCATCTTGGAAAAGTAGTCTTTTCCATGTGACTAGCACAGATTCTTTTATTCCGATCTTACTAATACTCTCAGATCACACATGATGTGTTACATATAGGATATGTATATATGTAGTTTACAGAAAGGCCATGGATAGTTTAAAAGGCTGTTCAATGAGTTAGAAGCTGGGAAACTGCAATCAGATAGTCTATACAGGGATAAAGAACCAGTGTCTACTGGAGACCTTTTGGTTGATAGACATAGGCTGTAGGGTGGGAGTGGAGCTTCAGAGATGAGACATGAGACAAGACCTGGACCACAGTCGGGAGAGCAAAAGGTAGGATCAGGCCCACACTAATGACAGGGAGATGAGTGGATAGAAATTTAAGGTTGTCTGCATCAATAATAAGGCGTGAGCTAAGGTGAAGTTCCGGAGACAATCCTGAGTTCTCTTTCCATTGATTTCTTCATAAACAGGGCAGGAGGTCGGAGGGATGCTCTGTGAGGTATCACCATCCATCCAGGTGAGAGCATAGCATCCATTCCTCAGTTCGAAGTGTCTGCTAAGTCCTCAGCCTACTCCTCCTATCGTGATCTTAATATAGCCATGTGCTTCTGCAGTCTCAGTTCACAGTGTCCAATGTGCAGGATGACACCTTTCCTCCTTAAAGGAATAAACTACTTTTCAGTCTGTGCCTCTTGGGTCATGTTGGACAGATGGTGTTGCTCCTGTGTCCAGCAAGATGAACAGTCATCTACAGCACCATAGTAAGAGAGTAGAGTAGTGATGACTGCAGGCATGGAAGGTGTTAGTGGCAAGGGAGGAGGTTGAGTCACAGGTACCACAACAGATATTCAGGGAGTCAGGCTTGGTGCTCCACAGCACCTCCCAGTGACCTGTTATGCATCTCTTTTTTTCTTATAAAAAGTATGAGAGAGGACTTTGAAGGTTCTCACAGGAATTTCATGAAAACAAGTGGAAATGCTAATTACCCTTACTTGATCATAATACATCATAGTCTTTGTGAATTATCATAGTATTGTATAAATGTGTGTAATTACCACATGTCAATTAAAATTAAAAACTATTAAGTTTAATTTACTAGCTTATAGGGCTCTTTAAGTGTCTGGGGGAAAGGTATTACCTGCTAGCAATGACTTTTGAGGATTTGAGGATTATTTGCCTAACTAGATCCCATGACTCACTGATGAGTTGGCTGACCATAAATGGGCATTGAACGCTAGATTTCAATTCAGAAATTGCCTAAACACAGTGTCCTGTTTTGAACTCTTCCTGCTGGCCTAAGACGTTCCCCCTCCCAGCACCCCACCTGTGCTTCCTTTTTACTGGCCACCTCCACTGGCAGAGCAGACATGACTCAGAAACCGGTTCCCCTGGCTGTAACAATGATACAGCTCTGGGATCATTACCTGTAAGCCAATGCCTTTGCTTCATAGCCTGTCTCTCTACAAGGTGTGTTGCTGTCAGACTGCTCGGAAAGCTCTCCCAGGTGTGGAAAGAGAGGGATCGCCATCAGCTTGGACTTCCAGGGACCTTTCTTTTCAGGAAGAAATTTAATATTAATTAGAAACGCCTCTAGAAGATTCACTACTGCATTGTAGACAGGGTGCAAACCCAGGAAGGACCGGGATGGGAATCCTATATTCTGAGGTATGTCATAGTTCTGAACATAAGAATCCAAAGTGGCTAAAAATTGCTCTTGCTTTTTCCACAAATAATTATCTAGCCCTGTTATCATGGCTTATTTTCAATTCTGTTTCTTGTTCCTTGTGAGTATTAAGTCAGGAAAGACCCTGCATACTAGGATATTTACTTTTTTGGTTTGGTTTTGTTTGTTTTAATATCTTAGCACAAGTTAGATTGAAATACTAAGTTTTAGCTAGACCCAAGTTGGGGGTGATGGGATATATATTTTCTGACATCCTCACTGCAGAGGTGATGTGAGCCTTGAAAAACTAACTTAGTAGTTATATTGTGTCTCAGTGAAATACAAGAGCGCAAGAGGAACTTAAATTTAACTGGATTTTCTAAAAAGCCAAAAGATTGGCAGGCTTTTCATGGGACCCACGAATAGAGCAACACCTTAAAGCCTGATATGTGAAAGGAAGTTCACCTCTGGCAATTATTAATATAGGTTATCACCATGTAGAAACGATGACAGGCAGTACAGCTTTGATATTTGGACTATTTCCTTTTGATAGTTGACAGGACATTTTTCTACATTGAAAGTAGCATACTAAAATCAAATACATTTTCAATGTTTCAAAGGGTGATGTTTGAATAAGTATCAGAGACATAGTAATGTTGTGGTTCTGCTTCTTCTTCTTATTATTATTATTGTTATTGTTATGATTCATGACTTAGTCCTTGTCTGACACAATTAACTTGCTAATCAGCATTCCATTCTCTAAGCTCAAGGGAGCCTCGCTGATTTTGATCTGCTAGAACTAAAGGTGGTTGTTTGGCACTTACTTTAAATGCACATGTGCGAGCATGAGTTTGTGAGTGTGTGCACATCAGTGTGCATGTTCCTTTACTAAAGGCATTGTCTCCTTATTTCACCATCCTGGGACTATCTTGCTCTGTAATTTTGATCTCACCAAGAAGTCACAACATATGAGGATGGCAAAATGTATAATGTGTATTAACATTCCATGCTGGTAAAATTTCTAGGTGTCAGGGAGAGAAACTCATTCATAGTGAAGTTTCTGGGACACTCACCCCAGAGTTCTGACTCACCTCATGTAGGGTCCACAAAACTAGTTTTGACAAGAATTCCAGCTATAACCTGTTCATTACTGTTGTGAAAGTCAGAACTCCTGCTCAGGGTCGTGGTTTTTTGTTTGTTTGTTTGTTTGTTAGACTTGCATGGAGATGAGCCCAATCTTGTTCAAGTATAGATGAAGATCATCCGTTGTGGCCCCCTAATTCTCTGTATATGTGGATGATCCCTTAAACAGTACTGTGACTAGCCTAGGTTGTGGAAACAGCTGCAGTTTTTTTTTGTGACTACCAGAGAACCGAGCAGTGCAATTGCACAATTGCATGTCAGTTTGATGTTGATTTGTCAAGCGAGGCAAGTTTAGGCCAGGTCAGGCATGTTTAACTACTTCCAAGTAGAGCTGATAATCTCTCCCAAAGTGACTTTTCAGCTATGTCAAGGACAAAATAAGTTGGAGGTTTTTCATTTTTTTCTGTTGCCTGTTTTTTTGTTTTTTTTTTTTTTTAAAGAAAGATTTTTTTAGTTCACTACAAAGGGCACAGGACTGGGACACAACATATAGTAACATAAACTTTTCTATGAAATCTTAAAAGTACACCCATATACATACACCACTAAAGGATCCCATAGGTAATTCCTCAAAGCTCAAGGCTAGTATTGATCACAAATAGTGTGTGATAGGTTATTTCTCCACTGGTGAAATAAGCCAATTCAAGCCAGATTAGAATATATTAAAGGCAGGTTTATTGAGAAGCTGCTCTGGGTAGGTTCACTGGCCCCAAGGATTGAGGCCCGGGGAGTCACAGTGGGAAGAAGTGGGCTGAGCGGGAAGAGAGAGAGAGAGAGAGAGAGAGAGAGAGAGAGAGAGAGAGAGAGA